TCCCTCAAAAAGACCCTCCAGGAGGCTTCATCTTCTCACAGCAGCACACAGAGTCGCCTGAACGCTCTGCAGAAGACGCTGAGCGCGGCTGAGCAGGACAAAAGGCTTCTACAGGTGAGTGAGACGGAAGGGAAGCCTTGGACAAGGTGGAAGACACCCAGAGAGAGTTGTGATGATTATTTTGTGCCACTCAGGAGCGGATGGATGAAGCCCGGGCGGCACTATCGGAGGGCAAAAGGAACGTGGTCATCCTCACTGAGCATGTGCAAAGTTTGCAGAGTGAGCTGGAACAGAGCAAGCTGAGACGAGAAGAAGCGGAGGCCGAGCTCAACAACACTCAAAAGGTGAGAGAGACGATGGGAGGGCAAATATCTGCAATAATAACGTCCTCATCAAAACATGACAAAAGGAACAAATTAACTCAGTTTACCAACGCATTTAATGCGTTAACGCTCACAATGTGACTGCTTTTCCTACTTCTCTGGAGTCATGTCTCTCTATGTGATCTTTCCCTCCCTCAGGCTCTTTGTCAGCGCTCTGTCGGTGTGGCAGAGGCTCAGCGCGGCGCCCAGTCGGCTCAGACAGAGCGGGCCGCTGTGGAGGAGCGGCTGCGTGGGCTGCAGCGAGCCGTGGCCATGCTCGAGACCGAGAAAAAAGACGCAGAGAGACAAGCTGTGAGGCTGGAGAAAGACAAGGACGCACTGAGGAATACACTGGATAAGGTCAGGGCTGCACAGTGGCTTGTGCTCAACAAATGTGACAAATATTTGTATTCAATCGTTTCTTTGTGAGTTCAAAAATGGTTTATGGACACATAAAGCTTTGTGATCCCATTGGGTCAAAGTGAGCATAGTGACATTTGATACTAGAGTCATAAAGGAAGATGACATGTTAACATTTTCCAAAACCCACACATATGCAATCATTTTGGTTTATGAGCAATTAAAGATAATATTGTTTGGTGAATGATGGAGACAGGATTTTCTTTTTTACACAAGACAATAATTATTGGCTCGCTAGGACCTCATTTGAGCTTGCCTCAGTTTTTTAGCATATGAAAACGTTCTTCATACATATAAAAATACCAATATTCACCTGAAACATAAAGAGTCTGCAGCCATGCCAGCTGTTGTGAGGATTTTTATGTAGGTGCTCTCAAGCTTTTCTTACCACCCTTCTCATCAGGTTGAGCGTCAGAAGCTGAAGACTGAGGAAGGCAGTATGCGGCTCTCTGCGGAGAAAAGCCGCTTGGACCGCTCTCTGAACACCACTGAGCAGGAGCTGCAGGACGCACAGCAACAGATCCTGATGCTGCAGGTGGGGATCAAACCTACACTCACACATTCATCATATGTCATACCTGCTGGTTTCCAGTGTGTACTAAAGGCAAAAGCTTAGCCGCTTCCCACCTCTAAATGTTACTGAATAGTCCACCATGTATAACTGATGGGGAAACAGGGCAAACCTTTTACAAACATCTTTAACATGACCAATTCATTTCATAGTTGTGGCTTTATATGTTTTTGTAGAGTTATGTAGAGCACTTATTATTTAAACCGTGAACATCCTTTAATAAATTCAGTGAGGACACAGGGATCCACTTAGCGTAAACAGTCTTTTTTAAATAGGGGTTTTATGGAGATAAACATCACATTTACTGCAGTAAATGTTACAAGACAAGCCTCACTGTTATATTAGAAGGATTAGATACATTAATAACTCAAACCTTTTATAACTGCGTGAAATAAAACATTTATTTCGACTCCCTTAATTCTAATTAGTAGACACACAACTTTAGAATGTTCTGTTAATGTCAGTGTTACTGTATAACCTCTTCATCTCTAGATACATCTGCTTCTTGTTACACATCAAACTTTCCCATTCAAGATCTGTTTTTCTTTATCTCTGCACCATTCATTATTGTCAGTGTTTCACTCTAAAAACAAAAGGTTAAACTAATCCCGGTCATAACGACTTACCACAGACACACCATAAACACGCACATAATTAAAGCTATGTGGGGTTTAGAAATAATTCCGTAAGAGTAATTAAACTTGTTTATTTCAGGCTGATTTTACATCTCAGACCACTGTTAATTTATCTGAATTTAGTTAGATATTGCCCAGGCTGCCGAGGAATTCATGTACCAAAACCCTCAAGATATTGCAAAAAGCTCCATTATGTTTGTACAACTTCAGAGGTGATACAACAACAAAAAAGTTGAACTAAATCTGTGGAAAGTAAGAAAGAGAAGTGCAGCTTGTGTCATTGAACCTATAAACTACAAGCTATAGACCTGTGGGAGGTTTCTCTACCGAGGGGTCATTAGCTATTTGTTAAAGGACCTTCTCCAGACCAATAAACATCACAGGTGTTAGTTTTGTCTCAGTGACGTAACCAACAACAGATTTGTGATGTTTACGCGTCTATAAAAGTTCCAGCTATTCTACTTTATTACCCAAGTTAAGTTATATGATAGGCATCCTTTCCAATCCTACCAAAAACGCTCCTTTAGGCCTTCAAACGGGAGCTACAATTACTTTAAATAAAGTACAGCATCTAACCATTTATTTTCAGCTGGTGGATCATCTTTACACCAAACTCTTGCAAAGCTTTTTTGTTGGCTCAAGTTACATATTCTTTGTATGCCCTCTTTAATATTCCCCATAGGTATAGGTTGGAAAGGAAGATTTCATAATGGCTTTTATACCTGCATTTCAACGTACCAGAAGGGCTTTAGTTAAGTGTATTTCCAAAAAGCATGAGTATGGTATTCCTCCATGAGGACACAGAGCCTTGATCAAGGCTGTTTGGTAACTGGATGTCTGCTTTTGATCCAGAGTTTTATAAAGAAGCGAAGTCTCTCCTCCGTTTTTATAATATAAACTGTCCTGAGTTAATCTGGCCAGCCTTTTTTGTCATTCTCCTTTGTGTTAACATTTGGCCTTCTGCGTGTGTGTGTGTGTGTGTGTGTGTGTGTGTGTGTGTGTGTGGTGTGTGTGTGTGTGTGTGTGTGTGTGTGTGTGTGTGTGTGTGTGTGTGGTGTGTGTGTGTGTGTGGTGTGTGTGTGTGTGTGTGTGTGTGTGTGTGTGTGTGTGTGTGTGTGTGTGTGTGTGTGTGTGTGTGTGTGTGTGTGTGTGTGTGTGTGTGTGTGTGTGTGTGTGTGTGTGTGTGTGTGTGTGTGTGTGTGTGTGTGTCTTGAGTAGACTCAGCTGGCTGAGACGGAGCAGTCACAGAATCTGTGTGAGAGTTTTACGAGGCAGCGGGACGAGGCCCAGCGGGAGGCGGAGAGACTCAGGACAAGCTTCAGGGACGTGGAGCGCACGCTGGGCACCAGAGAGCGAGCTCACCGACACAGAGTGAAGGGCCTGGAGGAGCAGGTAACACATCATGGTGTAGTCAAAGTCCTTCTCATATTAAACATTTTCCTTCCCTGCTACAATGAAATAGCTGGTTTGGGTGTGTAGTATTAAATGTAGTAATTCTATATAAATTAGGGATTTAAGTATGTCTGTCCGGCACTAGAGGTGTTTTGAAATAGGATGTCGGTTTGTGCCAAATCACAAGGAAACAAAGGAAAAGAACAGAAAGTCTTGGAAAATTTACAAAAAGCAAATAAGCCGAATAATAACCTAAATTACTCAGCTTTACTGCAGGTTGCTACCACCAGCACTCTCACACTCACAGACTCTTAAACAGTACAGGTCTTCTGTTCCCACCCTAAATTGGACAAAACCACTGCATGGGACTAGCTAAACCAGCGAGAGACATTCCCACTAAAACCTGATCCTTAAAGGAACATGGCAAGCCTTTGATTGCGAAAAACATTTAAAGGTGAGCAACTAACTCTTCCCTTATGTGATGGATGTTATGCTCCATGACTAACCAACAGTGCCTGGCAACACAAGAGGAGGAAGACCCTCCCCTTCCTCTTTATACAAATTGCTAAAGACAACAATAACACTGGTAAAAAGGAAAGGCCAAATCAGAAGAGGGAGGACATGTTGGGATCAGGGCTTGTGAAAAGGTCAAAAGGAAACCTTCTCACCGAGTGTAAAATGTAGTTTTGTCACCATCTGTATCTCTGCAGGTGTCCACCTTAAAGGAGCAGCTGCAGCAGGAGATGAAACGGCGACAAACTTCTCTTCCTCCCTCCTTATTGTCGGCAGGAAAGTGAGATCCAGAATAAAACCAGAAGCACCAGCACATCACGTCCAGGGAAAATCCACTAATCACGAATGTCTGAAAGCAATATTTACTCACAGAAACGATCCTGAAAGTCTTCATACTCTGAATCTACTGTTTAACTTGTTTTACTTTGTGACACTACTATCATTTTGATGGTGATTTATTGATATGTTGTACAGTGAAAAACATTTTACCAGTCGTGCTGTACACATTCAGCTCATGTCAGGCGATGTGATTCAGCAGCTGGGCTGAAAACGCCAGCCATCCGATGATTACTGGCAACCATCTGTACTTGATCCTTGCCCAACGTCCTCCCAAACGTCCTGCTTTTATTCAAGAAGAAAAACCAAACCACTGCAAAGGAGTCTCCTCCAGACAGAATCTGGATGTAGTGCAGGAACAAAGGTCTGCCAGTTGTGCAGTTTGGCCTCGATTTCTCCACATTTATATTAACAGTCGAGGAGCAGCGAGGTCTACAATGTGTGCAAGGGCCAGGAAACAGAATTATGAAGGAGCTGCACTGTATTTCCATTGAGAAACAGGCACATATTTTTCGATAGTTTTATAACAAAAAAGGAGACCATAAGGCACTACATATGATGGTATGCTTACAGTACATGTTTCTAAAAGTTTATATTAGTTTTACTAGATGTATTCTTTGTGCTTATTGTATAAATGCTGACAGGCTGATGATGAATAACAGCTATATGACTTAAATAAACTCATCGTGTGCTCCATCATTCACGTCTTTCAGCGCTCTGAGCTTCCTCCTCAGATGAAATTACAGCGATGACTCAATCACACACTGAACAGATGTAGTAAAAAAAAGTTTATTTTTTTTCTCAGTCTTTATAGTGACAGTTTTCTGACAGTTTTACAAAGCAGTAGTACAGAGGCCGTTTGTGAGATGCCTTTTGAACGCACTTGTTGCCACTGAAGTATTTTTTTTATGTAAGCTTGCTGCTCGGTTGCTAAGCACAGATCCAGGTGGCAGTAGTACAAACACTGAGGTCTCTCACCACGCATCTCACGATCTACCATGGCTGGATATTCATTAGTTTTTCTGATGTCAGTGCACAGGGGACACTGATGGGTTGCTCATCATGAGACTACTTTTCAACACAAGTACAGTAACATACCAACAAACACAAAGCATGAGATTAATACGGTACAATATGACAAAAACAAATAGAAATAAGATGTTCCGCAGTCTTATGTGCATCTCTATTCATTTTTATAGCACCAGTGTGATGTTATAGCACCAGCGGTTTATACAATCATCAATGTTCTTTGGAGTATATTCATCCATACACACAGGATCTACTGGGCAGACATACATAGTAAAAGACAAAGATAAACACAACACAAAAGTGCTTTTCGCACAGGAGTAATAATTGGTAGGCCTACAGGAAAGAGTCAGAAGGTAAAGTCAGGAGAAAGTGGGAGCAGGAAGAGGATAAGGAGGGGTTGAAGAAGAAGTGGCAGTATCTGGGCAGGTAGTGTCCCTGATCTCTGAATCCATCAGCAGCCACCGCAGCTCTTCCCGCAGCTTCCTCCTATCGATGAGCACTGACCGCTCAGCGCCGCCACGCCGCAGCGAGAGAACTGATCACGACACATGTCCGCTAAACACAGAGACCCAGAGTTAAGAAGGAACAATCTACTTTGTTTAAACATTGTGTAGGCCTAGGCTACCTCTAATCTTCTAAAAGCAAGTCCTAAAATAACAAGAAAGTCTTAAAGGTCCCCTATTATACTGTTTTTCATCAATATATTATAGGTCTCAGTTATATACAAAACATGTTTCTGAAGTGTTTGACTCGAAATACCAAACGGCATCCCATAAACCCCTCTGTTTCAGCCCTGTTTCAAAAGGGCTGATTCTGTGTCTGTAGCTTTAGATGAAAATAAGGTTCCACTCCCAACACCAGATATTTGGTTAAAAAGAACACAATGGTGCTCTGGTGCCCCTTTCACACCAACGTGGTTCCAGGTTCGGAGCTAGAGCCTGATAAGCACCGTTTTTTCCTGTTCACACCGCAGCGGAGCCGGCTCTAAGCACCGAACACCGGTGCTTACCAAGCACCAAAAAATTGTCAGTCTAGAAGCAAGAACCGCTTACGTCGGAGGCAGGGGCGGTATCAACCTGAGCAATAACAGTTTATGGCGAGTAGGCCTACGGCAAATGAAAGTTGTAACAAGCAGTAGCGCTGGCCAAAGTGACTAGAACGCAACCACACACTTATTAAAAAGAACACACTTTATAAAGTCAGGCAACACTAACCAGGCTTCGTGTGATTCTGTTTATTTGTACCTTACTTTGACCATCCGTTCGCTGTCATTGATCATTGTGGAGAGAGGCAGACGTTTTGTTTTGTATTATAGCAGCTATCGGATGGAATCAATACATGGGCTGCACAGGTTGTCATGTCCGACTATAACAAGTAGAATCATAATGAAAAATGTGCCTGTAGAAAACGGCTTATGCCACAATAGGATAGCAACAAGTAGTCAAGATAGTCAGTTTATCTTTGGTTGCTATGCTAACACCACCCATTTTATACCAGAGAAACTTTCATAACAGCGCTGTGATGCCAAACAGCGGGCAGCACTGCAGCAGTCGGTAAATGCAGCTGAAACACATTAATAAACAATTAACCACGGCATTCTGGAGAAAAGTATAAGGGTTGAGAAGTAGTTATTTAATTTAATCTGGCTTCATATGATTAAAAGCAACACGATTATCGACCCAACGCCGTTGGGGAGAAAATCAGTGACGTCATGACGCAGCTGCGGCAGCACCAGTCGGGCTCTGGGCGGTGTGAACAAACGGAGGCTGAAAAGAAAAACCGGTTCCGAACCAGAAAAGCTCTAGCACGGAGCTAGAACGGGAACCGCGTTGGTGTGAAAGGGCATAGGAGGAGATTCAGGTGATAAGGTGGGGGGTGTTATCTTGGTTAGTTATTGGCTAATGGTTACACAAGCCAAAACATCGTTATGACATCATAAGGTGGGCAAAATCTGATCAGCTGACAGGTTTTTATATAAATGGATCAGGACAAAAAGAGAGAATATTTTTTCCGGAAACTTTCAGAATCTCTTTACACAGAGGGGACACATGTTTCTGTAGAAAAGACGTGAAAAAGTGGATTTTTCACAATAGGTGACCTTTAAAAGTTTTAAAATCTATGCATTTCCAAATGTATGGGGTAAGAGTATTATGTTTTGTTTGAATGTAAGACAAACAAACCTTGTTGAGAATAGAAAGAACAGCCAAAACATCTGACTATGTTCAAGCCTTCCATTACTGCAGAGTGCAGACCGATAAACCCAGGATGATAGAGGGAGGCTGTGCTAAATGTCTGTTCTGCTTGTTTACCTTTGTACTGCTGTTTTGTTCTGTGTTTGTTTATACTTCATACCAAGATTTGGTCTACAGTAAATAAATCAGATTCTACAATTACAAGTGTCAAACACAAAGAAAGCATAACTCTGAACGCACCTCTGAGCAGCTCTTCATGTGCACACACAGTCCTCACGCAAACCTCTTTGTTGATGACGTACACCCGTCGCAAGCTTAATGGAAACAAAAGCAGAGGTCAACTATTACACTGGAAAGATAAAAGCAACAATAACTTGATCACTAATTACAGGCAGTACTTCACAACAAAAAGCATTGCCCGATAAAAAATAAACCACCTGCACGCCAACACTGAACAAAACAAGCCATTTGCAAGGGTGTAATGACTTCATATGCAAGATGTTTGAAAATAATAACATGCAGAGTTACAAAAGTGCTATTTACACTGTGAGCACAGTTGCTGTGCGGGAGGTAAATAACAAAGTAATGAGGAGAGAGATCCTTGAGGCTAGGTGGACACATCAGAGAACATACAGAGATGGAGAACAGATGTGCGGAGCTGGGATGTAAACTGATGGTTAGCTGCAACAATCAAATCGAGATTCTCTTAATGAACTCACCCAGAAAAGGAAAGGGTTCCTGGTACTGAGCCTGGGCGAGCAGCAGGGCTGTTGACATTTCACAAGAATAATCACAAAGATGGGGTGATGAGTGAAATACAGGGAGGGAAGGTCGGCATTTACTCTGAATACTGTAACTGAGCATCTTGTTTTCTCTTTTTTAGGTACACTTCTACTCTTGCTTTTGGTTTTAAATGTCCATGTTTGAACATTGTACTTTTTCTTGAAATCTTCCTGCCACAAATGGCATTTTGAGTTCTTATGACACAAAACACACCCTTATTCATTTCCATATATTCAATAGAATACGCCATTCTTGATCTGTTTGACTGTTGTTAGCCAGTGCTTGATATTACGCTTGATATTGCGTAACACTTTGGAGCATGCACCATTTTCCTGTTCCTCCCTTCTGCAGCCACAGTGAGCCAACGCTACATCAAGACACAAGACCACGAGTGAGTTCTGGTTTGAATTGAGCCATGGTGTGTTTTCATTATTACTTTTTAAAAAACAGTTTTTTAGTTTTATGAGATTTGTTTGTCTTTGAAGGGGTTCATATTAAAGTTTGCTTTGTTAGCCCCCATATTCATACCAGACCAAGTAATGCTGAAAAAAACCATGAGTGTATTGAACTGAGAAAGTGTTTTTGCTTTATTGAATGTGCCAAGGACGAACACTTAAAATGTTGCACAGGATCTGACTCACAAGGCGGATACACATATTACTTTACTAACATTGGTGGCCTTTTAGTTTCTTATGAATTCAACTTTTTATTTCCAAGAGTATGTTTAATTTCAAAGGTAACATAGTCTTACAATAGTGCAAAGCATTACTATTTTCTTTAACTATTTAAGACAGCTTTTAAATTACATTACCTTATGAGAAAGTATGTAAGACAGAGCAAAGCTAGTTATTTCCCCCGTTCACAGTCTTTATGCTAAGCTAACGGTAGCTGTTGCTTCAAATATATTCAGCTGTATCAATCTTCTCATCTAACAATTAGCAGAAGATTTAATACAAGTATTTATGATAATGAATATCCTTTAACTGTAATGGTTGCACCGTTTAGTAATGAATATGAGTTATAATAAGTGATAAAGGTCTTCAGGGGCTTCAGTGGTCGGTTGGTGCAGTTACCTGGCATGCAGATGAGTAGGAGGACTCTCATGGTCACTCTGGGAGGTAGACTGACTTTAACCCTGAGGGGGAGATAAGGAGAGAGTTAATAATCAAAACAGAGCAACACGAGGGGAATAAAGAGCTCAGGGCTGGATATTCCTGAACTCTCTCCTCCCCTCTTTTTCCTTGCCCTCCGTCACCTTTCCAACCCCCCACTGTTCTCCCCTCTCTCTGCCCTCCTTCCTCCCCTTCTCCCCCTCCACTGGCCCCAAACAGCCACGGCAAGAAAAAGAGGGGGAAAAAAAGTCTGACAGCAAGAATGTGGCACGTCTGTCTTCCTAGGAACAATCTCTCTGTTTTCCCACTTTTCCTCACTGCAGCAGACAGTCTTGGGGCTGCATTCCAGGAAAGGAAACAGAGGACCCCTCAACCCCACCCCTCTCCCTGAGTTTTCTTCATCCCTCCCTCCCTCCCTCTCTCTGTCTGTCTCCACATCCTTCATTTCCCTTCTGTCACCCTCACTGGTCATTTCCTCGAACCCCCTCCTCCTTTTGCCCCTTTTCTTTCTTCTTCACTCCACAGAGCAAAAGCCTCTCATGTTGAGTGGAAATGACATGTGGACAGAAAAACATGAACAATGACAGCATCAGGACATCAAAGACATCACTGATAATCCCCCTTTAAGTTAAATTGTCAATGACACTCCGGAAGTCACTTCGGAAAATGTTGCATACAGCAAAATCCATTACCTTAACTTCCTCTAACACTCACTAAACTACTTTTCCACTTTGTGGAAAGTATGAATGCTTCTCCTTTGCTGCAGCACAGCAGGCTGTTTCTCACACACACACACACACACACACACCACACACACACACACACACACACACACACACACACACACACACACACACACACACACACACACACACACAACATAAAGCAGTTAGTTTCTGCTTTGTACACCCTTCCCTGTGGACTTTTTCTCTCCCTGTGACTGCATGCACATTTTTATTTTTGTAAGGCCACACTGGATACAAAACGTGATTAAACACAGTTTGCACAATTTCTCCATGTGTAACAGTAAAGCTGTGTATTTGTGTAGCAGAATCACACACACACACACACACACACACACACACACACACACACACACACACACACACACACACACACACACACACACATTCTTCTTGTGCATCACAGTGGCTATCGGAAACCATATGTTTTCACAGCACACATCTGGGAGCGATTAACCCCCCCTCTCCCCATGTAGTCCTTCCCTTTCCAGCTAAAGACCCCTTTCCCCCCACCCACCCACCCCCACACCCACCCCCCCCACCCCCCCACACACACACACACACACACACACACACACACACACACACACACACACACACACACACTAGTTAGCGTTCCTGAGGACAGCAACATGAGATGCAATGCTGTCATTTTGCTTACTTTAGTTTTTAGGCCACTATGACATGTAACAATAAAATACACACATCTAAATCATGCCCTCATCGACCCCAGCCTCTGGAAGCAACTGGTTTGTGTGTGTGTGTGTGTGTGTTTTCCCTCTTGGCACCCTCTCTTTCCATTGTAGTGCCATTCCTGCAGGCTGAGCTGTGAAGTCCCTCCTCCTGCTCCTCTCCAGTGAAAACACAGCACCACATGTCAGCTCTCAACAGCCATTACATACACGCAAATTATCCCACAATTATTCGGTACACATTACGCACACTGCTAAACGCTTTGGATGCTTGAATGTCCTTGGAACGTGGACTGGGCTGCATGCAATCTGTGCGCCATCACCTCACAGCTCCTGATTTTTTTCTTCCATAATAATGAGCACAAATGCAACTCAACTTAAGTCTTCTGAAGTATCAGAACCGAAACATGCACAACACAAAACATATTTAAAAAACATATAAAGTAGGTTCAACGATACTACAATTATTTTTGCAGTTTCTTACCCAACTTTGCTTCAGTTTGCTCCGACTATCCTCAGCTCTCATGCGTCCTGTGAGTGCAGGAGGACTCGCCACATTGTACCACCCCGCATCTGGAGTCTCCTCCCCGTCCCAGCTCCAGCCCCCGGTCCCAGCACCGACCCGCAGCCCCAGCAGGCTGACCCGGGACCAGTCGCCGGTCAGGTGCTGAGACCAGACTTACATCTTTATAAAACACTCAACTTAATTGTTTTATTTATTAATTGTAAGTATTTTCTTTGTTACACGTTCTCTCTGAGAAATCGACTGCTTCCATTAATTATTATTTTGTAACTTTGCATGCATTTTGTTCCTACTGTTTGAACTGCATTACCAAAACACACATATATGCATTCAGTAGTTACATCTTTGTATTATTTGTATCGTTTGAAGAACAGTTGACTCGTAGAAAGATGTTTGGTTTATTGTTGCTTGTACGTATGTATACACCTATTTTCACTTTATTACTGAAGTATAGGTTTTTGTTCCTAGATTATTTTAGTAAATTTATTTTTACATTGACAGCAATGCAAAAGGTCAATAAAGGCATTTCTGGTCCTTAATAAAATAGAGATGCATTTTCCAAATAGGAGATAGATAGGTACAAGCGTCCTAACTTTTCTAACTAACAAATACTCAATTGTAGCTTTTCATAAGTTTGTCCAAGTGTTTATGTCTAGTCCCATCGAGGCTGTGCTGCTCTTTAACAAGTTATTCACTTCAGGTCTGAGCAGATGAATTGACCGAGTGGCACCAACATCTACAGGATACATATTTTTTCACATTTTCCTTAAACTAAACTCAATAATACGAGTGATGAAGCTGATGTTGTAACTCGTTTGAGGCTCTGCACAATAGTGGCATCTAGACGGACACTAACCAACAAAAGAAAGAAACAAAGAAAACAGTGGCAGGCATTTCAACGGTTTAATTTCCATCAAAAAAGGACTATTGTTGGTATGTTGGAAGATCTGAGGGAACATGATATACTGTATCTCTCTGAAGTGCTGCTAAGCTGAAAAGCAAGCAAAAATATGTCTACAGAAAAAAAAAACTCCTTTTTCTTTGATGTGCAGCAGCAGGTCGCCCAAATGCACAAACACACATACAGTAGCGTTGAAGATAAATACCTCTGTTATGGTACATGTAAAACTCAGACACAAACTCTCTCGTGCAATCATACTGTATATGTGTGTTTCATTAACACCAAGTCCTCCAACCACACACACACACACACACACACACACACACCATTAGAGCAGAGTGCAGTCTGTGGAGTGTGGCGGTGGAGCAGATTGCTGTACTGGCCCTTCAGACCTCAAAAAGCATTTTTTATTAAAAAAATCAATATATAATGTTATCATGGAGGGAAAGATTACAAGAGGAGAACTGAGGTTTCAGACGGCGACCACCTTCTTCTCCTTGTATGTGGCCATCATCTTCTTGATCTCAGCTATCGCTTTTCCTGGGTTCAGACCCTAGAATAAAGAGACAGACGAGGCAGAGCAGTGAGAAACAGCACCTCCAGCACTTTATATGTATTGAGGTTTTGTTTAATAAAACTAGTAAAAAATATGTTCACAAACTATTTTTTTTTTTTTTTTACAAAGAACGGATGGCCCACATGTAATTAAAAAAAAACTGGGACTCAAATAACATGCAATACTGCTGACGAAAAATGTATTCAAAAAAATTACAATGTTAATCTTTAACAAACTACAAAATCTCTCTTTATTTTAAACAAAGAACAGCAGACAACATTTTAAATACATTTTTTATTTTCTTTCAATGTAGCACTTTTCTGTTTCTGACTCCACTGATATCGTGGCTAAACTAGAATGACTGCAACGTTAAATATAATCTGGTGATCAAAAATACCTAGTGATTAAAGGGCCGGAGAAATAAGCTGTGTTATGCTGTGGAGATGCACAGCAGGTTACCTTGGGGCAGGTCTTGGTGCAGTTCATGATGGTGTGGCAGCGGTAGAGGGAGAAAGGATCCTGCAGCTTGGCCAGACGTTCCTCTGTGAACTCGTCTCGGGAGTCGATCATCCAACGGTACGCCTGAGAGACAACACAAAGGGACCCATGAGCTCTTCATTCGTTGTATTTTTTAAAAGCAAATTCAGAATAAAAGTCATTGGCGGGGAAATGTGTGTGTGCTCGGACACACACCTGCATGAGCACAGCGGGGCCGAGGTATTTGTCTCCGTTCCACCAGTAGCTGGGGCAGCTGGTGCTGCAGCAGGCGCACAGGATACACTCGTACAGCCCGTCCTACGCAGGGGAAGAAGGGGTGATATTTATTTTCATGGGACTGGAAAACTGCTATGTGTTACTAAAAATCAAACCCAGCGGTGTACCAGTTTCTCTCTGTCCTCCACGGTCTGCAGGTACTGCTCCTTCCCTTCGTTGGCCTCATCCTTCTTCTTCAGGTAGGGCTCGATGGACTTGTACTGGGCGTAGAAGTTACTCATGTCCTGCAGCGACAAAGTTGGCATACACGTCAGAAGGGAACTTTATTTAAACATGGCTTCAGCAAAAGCATTGAAGAAAAGCTGAGGATGTTTAAGTGTGAAAACAACGCCTCTGAAACTTTTGCTTGGTTAACTCAGCGCCAGGAATATATGTATTTGTATTGAGTGTGTCATTTTAGAGTCTATAAATCAAAAACATTATTTCAATCTAGGCTAGATATATACAGCAAATGAACCATGCACATATATATCCTGAATAAATTCAACTAATGATAGAATGAAAAGTCTGTTCATTTAGTAATGTTACGGTTGAGTAAAACAGATTGGAGCAACATTGTTGGACACAGAAATAAAAACTGACAGGGCCTGTTGTCAGTGGACTCAGTTAGACTCAGTGATAGTGGACAAATACTCACAGGTACGAGGTCCTTCACCACATACATGTGTGGCAGAGGGTAAATCTTAGAGGGCTTGCTAGTGTTGGTGTCGATCTTGTTGAGACAGGCAAGTGTGTTTCCTCCATTAATGTTCATTGCACAGGATCCACAAATACCTGCATTGAAAATAAATAATTAATAAAAATGTATATCATTTCTGAGACAGGAAAATGTGAAGACAAATGTTGTTTTGTATCACAAAAGTGGGCATATGCATTTTTTATTCAAGAGTAATAACATTAAAAAGGAGTTATGAAGACTGTAACTCTCTGTTAAAAGGCTAATGCTTCTGCACATTGGTTTACCCATGCCTCCATGTTACTCACCTTCTCTGCAGGAGCGGCGGAAGGTCAGGGTCGGGTCCATTTCATTTTTTATCTTGATCAGGGCGTCAAGAATCATCGGGCCACATCTACATGAAGAAGAACAAAACCAGGCGGTAAATCCAGAATGTCAAGACATGAGTGTAACATTTCTCTGATGTGCTTGACTTGTCCAACAAGAAATTCAGATTAGTATGGATTCAAGCATTTTTGGATTTGGTCTTTATTGGCTGCAGTGTCATGTTGACAGAGGTAAGATGAGAGTTTCTGCAGGTGATTAGAGAACACATGAGGGAGAGGATGGGAAACATGCCAGACTCTTATATCCACTTAGGTTAATTTTACCTGAAGGCTGTTCTCAATTAAATAAACATGCCTTCTGATTGAGAACTGCATTGAACTAAACTAAGAGATTCGCCTCCCACAATGCAAATGAACATGATCAGCTCATAGCAGTGCCTTTTAAAAAGAGTCATATTCTTCAGTTTAAAAGGATAAGCAGAGTTTTTTTTCTGAGAGTCTAGATAATAACATATTCAGTTACACTTCGGCCATTATTTGAGGATATCAGGAAACCTTGTCTTGCGTATTTCAGTAATTTAGGATTGAAAAACACAGGTAGACACACTTCCTCGTGGCAGAGGGAGGAGCAGTAGCACGTACGTGTTGAGGTCGATATCGTAGGTCTGCATGCGGGGTTTGTCCCCTGGAGTGTCGGGGTCCCATCTGTAAATCTGGAACTTCTTTATTCTGGACTCAGCTACTGGAGCCGCCGCTGTCTGGGCATACCGCACTGCCTGAGGCCAGGGAGGGGAGAAACACAAGATTATTTTTGACACTCTACAAAACACTTTGGCGAAAATACTTTACAATAAGAAACAGAACATAAAAGTGCACTGTACTTCACAAGTTTTTTTCAATATCAGTGGACCTTCTGCGTCTGCTTCTGTAAATAACTTAAACATTAACAACTTAACATTAACCCTAAAGCACTAAGTGAAGTATTTCTCTAAGTTAAAGCAGAATAACTACAAAACAAACAAATAATTTATTGATAATATCCATCATTCGTGATCCTAAAACATAAAGCACGACATGGTTAAAGATACATTACGCAATGTTTTCTCGTTGTTTGATTTGACTGAATGATGTACTTAAAACATATCAAACCTCTTTAAAATAAGTATTTTTATTAGCTAGTAATTTTAGTTAACGTTACTATAATTAGCTTATCATTGTTTACATGTTTGTTTTGCTCATTTCCTGTCACGTTGCCTGTTTACGTGGACATTATTCGTTTACATTTAAAGATAAACAAAAACCAGTCGATAAAGAAGAAATGTACAGGTTATAAGGGATTGTTGGTCAGTCTAAAGGCAGGTAACAATGAGGGTTAGCTAACTAGTAGCTGACTACGTAACAGGAGCTTCAGAGCATAGACGGAGCCCTCCGCTGTCAACAGGGAGAGCGTTGTTGCTACGATGTGACGTTACCATGAGCAACGCGATGACAGAAGCTCTTACTGACATTAACGGTTAGTTGAGACTGTTTATTTATTATAATGTTTAATGTCCACTTACCACCTGTCCTGCGGGCGAGCGGAACGACAAAACCCCACAGCGGCTCAAGGACGAGAGGCAAGCAGCCGACATTTTGGATATTCTCTGACCTCCACCGCCTGCTATCCCAGCAAACACCACGGCTGCGTCATAGCTCTTGTTGGAGCGAATGTTTTGCTGACCCTCGTCTACCGGGCACACAAGAACTCTAGAAGTTTTTGTACAGTAACCTTAAACATAACAGGGGTCGTGGCAACATAACCTAGTAGTATCCATAAACTGTATTACTAAAAACATAAATTGATGGGAGCACAGTCTCACAGTTGTAATAGCTCTTTTGTTTTGATTTCGCAAAAGTTATATTCTGATGGATTATAAACACTAATTTTCAAAAAATGTTGAGCCCATATAAACCAATTATATTATTTAAAATAAATCTAGAAATATCATAGTCAGCATTCGTAATGATTAATGATGCTAGCGTTTTCTTGTCAGCAGTAGACGGGCGGAGTTTCGGCAGAGGACACCTTCCGAGACGACCAGGCTTAAAAATCAAACAAACCCTGTGCGCTTGTGTCAGTTGTCGCACGGCGTGTTGGACTCACATAACAGTGAGTCTCTTTACAGTAAAGCTGTGCTAAGGTCACTTCAGTGTTTATATTCTGTTAACAAGAAGACCGTGGTGAAGTAGTACGCTTGAAGATGGTGTTCCTGTCGCTGTCTTGCTGGATCCGAAGCCGTGGACCGGACAGATACTGGAAAGTTCAAGATATAGTCAAAAATGCAAAGGTAAGGCCACGACTATTTTCTGGAGGAGAATATGGCTTAGAGCTGTTCTGTGAACATGTTGTGCTTTTTATAATATTGTAATCTTTGTGAAAGTTACATTTGAAACCTTGTTCAAACCAGACCTTCAGTAAAAGTAATTTGCAATGTTAGTCCTGCTGTGTACAGATGAGCTGTTTGAGTCGGTTGTAAATATGCCTCGTCATTTTTAATCCAATAAATGTAGCATACATAATTATGGTTATTTGGTTTAAGTCATCCCTTCTGTCGCTTCCTCCTCCAGCACTTCAGAGGCAGGAAGAACCGCTGCTACAAGCTGGCAGTGAAGGCGGTCAGGAGGGCTTTCGTCTACGCCACCAAAGGTCGGAGGCTCAAGAAACGCTACATGAGGACGGTGAGACAAGAAATACTCAAATACAAATGTCCTCCAACGACCTGATGACAAACACATGGCACTGCACACAGGCTTCACTCTGAGATTTAAAATGTATGAAAATAAAATAGTAAATAAATAAATAGATGGATAGATAGATAGATAGATGAGTATGTAACAGAGGGTAATGTCAGGTTATTAGAAAACAATACAAAATACTTACAATGCAACAATTTTAGTTGTCATCAAAAATGATTTTAAAAGGTAAATACGATACATATAATAATTAAATATATAAACAAATACAACTTGCACAAGGGCTAATATTGTCAATAATTTGTAATATTAGCAGATTAAATCATGACTTGTACACCAGAAATTCTGTGGAAAATCATAAAGATTAACGAGATTTACAATGCAAGTGTACGCTTTTTTTTTTTTTTTCAAGCAGTAACAAATTGATTGAAACACAAACAGGAATGAAAACAATTGTAAATAATTTGCATAATTTTAAACAGAACCCAATTGATTGGTCCCATTGTGACTGTTGTCACTAATTTCCATCATCATTAATTGTATTTTTTGTGCTCTTTATATCTTCAGCTCTGGATCTCACGCATTGCAGCAGCATCACGTGAGCACGGCATGAAGTATCCCGTCCTAATGCACAACCTCACCAAGGTAGGCTGTGCTGAATTTCCCAGCGGTGCAACCATCATCTCTGTTTTCCAGGCTGTTTATTCACTCTGTCTGTGTGACATATTTTTTTCTTGTCCTTCATACAGTCAAGTATTCAGCTAAACCGACATGTGATCAGCGACCTGGCCATCACAGAACCTCGGTCCTTCCTCTCACTTGCAAAAGTGGCGCGGGCTCGACAACAGGAAGGCTTCCGGGCAGCGTTGGGTGACGGCAAAGAGCCCGTGGGTGTCTTTTCCCGTGTTGTTTTGCTACAGTAAAATGACTTGCTTCAGTTACAGATTTCTTATGTTATGTGATTTAAAGAACAGTGGCAGTGGACTATAAAGATGTTCATTAAACAATTAGTCAGGCACCCTATCCCTTACTTTCTTTAAAGTTGTTGCTTTGTCTTAGTATGTTTGATCACTTGAGAATGCTGCTTGGATGATGTGTATCTGTATGGCAACCCAGTTAGCATCACCTTGGTTTTCAGGACAACAAGCCAGTGGGATTCTTCTTTGACCACAAACTATTGACTGCAAAACAACGAAACCAGAAGTGCAACATTCTGGACCGATGTCTGGGATTAAGGTCCAAATCCTGCAACTCTAGTTACCAGGGCTGAGTATAACAACCCATATAAATGTTCACATCTCATTACCAGGGTCAAGTCATCATTCAGTACGTGGGTGAAAATGACTGATCAGAGAGCAGACAATGATGCACCTGTCTCTGTCTGCTTCAGGTGTAAATACGTTGACATGTTAAGCAATGAGTAATGTCCCTCAAGTAAAAGAGATACAATATATTGCTCTTGGACATTCTAGCGTCTCTACGAATGACTGACCTTGAAGGTTCCTCTGCTTGCTATGCTCATCTTCACCCATTCTGCTTTTTTGTGTTACAATGAAAACAGGTTTGACAAATGCAGATGCTTTTTCCTTTTAAGTCCCTTTCTGATAATTCCATCAATTGGCAACTCCTGAATACTTTTCTAAATTCTTTAAAAAGTGACCCATCTGAAGTTAAGAGAGTTTACAGTAGATTGAAGAATATTTTTGAATTTGTGCATTCTTGTATCATAACAAAGATCTTGTTATAGTCTGCTTCTGCCACTGTTCTGACTACAGTGTTGCCACAAGATACTCCTACAGTCGCCCTGATTACCCCCAGTATCATGATTATCAATTTCCACAAGCCTCCTTTGCATAATGCTAGCTTTTTGTTAAGTTATGATTTGATGATGATTGTGAGTTTTTGGAAGAAGAGTGGCCTCAAGTTTCTGTTGATGACTTTTGTCTCTGTAAATATATATTTTGCCATTTGTTTTGGCAAGGTTGTCCTCTAAATGTTTATTCATTAAACATTTTTTATATATACGTTGTCTTTCTGTCTTCTATTTAAACAAGTTAAATAAATGCAATGTAATATGTGATTATCAGATATATCTTTATTACATTAGACATTTCTAGCTTTAATTTTGGATGCTTTGTGCTTTAAGTGTTCTTCTATGAAAGCTGTAATTTTACACTATGCCCAATTTTGTGTCTTGAGCAGACAATGTGTTTATACAATTATCTTTATTCAATAAACCCAGGGTAATCGAGAAGGTATCAAAACGTAATATTCCTCCAGTACCAACATGTATTCTTGATTGCTCTTTGCTAGAAAAACAGTGAGACACTACTGAAAGTGCACTTCGTTTACTTGAGTACAAATTAAAGATGATTTCACTTTACTTGAACATTTCAATTTTAAAGTTAACTATACTAAAGATAAATGTACTATTGATGAAAAGTTGAATTTTAAGAGATATGACACTACAAACAGGCTGTGATGTTTTATAGAATGTAATGCATTGTATAACATTAGCACAACCTTAAACATCTAAAGTATTACAAATGCAATACACATTAACAGAGCAGTCATATTAATTCAAAACATATAATAGCAAAACCCTTACAGGAAACACTTGACTGCACAATTAGTACATTGTTTTTAACGTAAACCTTTTGCTGATGATACTTCAGACTTTGCTTGTAGTTTTCAGTACTTTTAAGGAAGAAAAAGGATCTGAATATTCTCCCTACCTTGGATACAAAGCACACGCATTCATGTCAATGACCTTCAATTGACAAAACCAGACAGTCTGATGCAACCAAAAGAAAACGAATATCCTTTAATTTGCATGTATTATGACCCTCTTCGGCTACCGTATAATTTTGGGTGGGACTACATCATGGACTACATGAATGACCTCTACTGGGGACAGGTAGTTGGGCCAGCCAATGAGAAACAGAAGTACACGATACCAGCCAATCCTCGCTGCAGTTGTTCAATCCAACCTGTAATTTCTGCTGCACATGCGCAGAAGATTGCGGCATGACACGAGTGTGTGGAGAGTGCAGTGACAGGTCTCTCGCTCCATACACAAGCGGATAAACTGAGTTTTATTCCTTCTCGTCAAAATGTCGTGGCTGTTCGGCCTGAACAAGGGGCAGCCTGAAGTGCCCCCCGGTCTCCCGGTTCCCCCTGCACCGCCTGCCCCGCCGGCTGGAGGCTCCGGCGGCGGCGGCGGAGATAAACCCAAGGACAAATGGAGCAACTTCGATCCCACCGGGCTGGAGAGGGCTGCTCAGGCGGCCAAGGACCTCGACAACTCCCGTAAGTGTTGTGCAGGGCCGGGTAGCTCAGTGGAGGTTTCTCCTGATAATAAAACCCTGACTGCAGAGAGTCGTGATGCTCCAGCATCCAGAACCTCTCCGGTTCACGGTGGTGGTCGCTTCAGTGATGCTGTAGCTTTGGAAATGAGGCCCACATTAACACAGCCAGCTTCTGTGAATGTACATTGTAGGTCAGCTTTGAGACTCTGTTGGTAGATCATGAGAACAACGCTGTGTTCTCTCACCTTCATTCAAACTATTGGACTGGGTTCAAAGGTCATCACCTTGCCATCTGGCATGCAACATCACAAATCTGTTGTTTCTCATACATGCATTTATAATTTAAAGCATTGTCCTTATCTGCTAAGGTAATATGAGGTGAACAGAGAGTAGACACAAATCTGTGAGGATTAAGCGCCAGGCAAGCAGGTTACATTGATCACTGGACGTTTCCATGTTTAGAAGCCACAGCATCTTTTACTACCGTGTTGTTGACTCTCCTCTCTCCTCCACCCAGGACATGCCAAAGAAGCTCTGGACTTGTCTCGAATGCAGGAGCAGAGCACTCAGATGGAGCATCAGAGTAAAATAAAGGTACAGTGGAAATGTGTACTATACTACTACCTTCTTTTCATTTCCAGCAGGGAATGAAGGTGATATTAATTGGGCTAATTTACACACACTAAAGAATACACTCTTTTGTGTGTTCCTGTAACAGGAGTACGAAGCAGCAGTTGAGCAGATCAAAGGAGACCAAATACGAGTTCAAGCGGAGGAGAGGAGGAAAACTCTTAATGAGGAGACCAAGCAGCATCAAGCGGTGAGACAGAGAGGATTTCTCTTTTTATATAATAGTTTAAGATCAACTAGAAGTATGCTTTGCAGTGAACTAGAGAGGTTTGAGTTGTGTGGTTATGTTTAGTTTTGTTCTGTTACAGAGAGCTCATTTTCAAGATAAGCTGGCCAGACAGCGATATGAGGACCAACTAAGGCAACAGGTGAGGTCATCTCCCAAATATGGACACAAAAAAAAGTCTTATAATGTGACATTACTAATATATCTTTCTATTACAGCAAACACTGAATGATGAGAACCTCCGCAAACAAGAGGAGTCTGTGCAGAAGCAGGAGGCCATGAGGAAATGTAAGAGACTTTACCTTTAAGATCTTGTTGAAGATCTTGAGTGGTGGTTTATGTACTTGTTGTGTCTTTTTTTTTATATAGCGACAATAGAGCACGAGATGGGGCTGAGGCACAAGAACGAGCTCCTGCGTATACAGGCCGAGACCAAAGCACGAGCCCAGGTGGAGCGAGAGAACGCCGACATCATCCGCGAGCAAATCCGTCTGAAGGCTGCAGAACACAGGCAGACGGTCCTGGAGTCCATAAAGTAAGACACACAGACCTCTTTAAGGTTTAACACTGCAGTTTTTATGATTTTGGGGATTAAAATAGTTTTTGTAATAGTACTATTTTTGCTTCTTCTGCTCAATTCCTCTTACTGTGTTTATGTTTGCACAATTTACACCAAAGCAAATTCCTCGTATGTGTAAACCTACTTGGCAATAAACCAGATTCTGAATCTGGTAAGATGTGTATTGAAAGTTCTTGCTGTCCTTAATCGTGTTACTAGTTCAAACTGAAGGTATTACAAATGAATACCAGTATAAAACTGTAATAGAATAAGTGTTATTTTAGAAGGGATTATTTTTTAATGTTAACTGGTTAATCTAGAGTTGCATCATGTGAACGCCCAAAAGGCATGCTGACAGAGACGTGTATTTGCTTTGTTTTAGGACTGCAGGTGCTGTGTTTGGAGAAGGATTCAGGGCCTTTGTGTCAGACTGGGACAAAGTTACAGCCACGGTAAGACTTTTGTTTCCATTCAGAATCAGTTTGGGGAAGTATTAAACTATAAATACATAATAAGAGCTGAATCCGCCACTGAAGAAACTACTGAAGCATGTTCATTAAAAAGAATAAATAATAATAATAAATTAATAATAATAAATAAATTCAGTCATTAACAACAAATAAATGGTTAAAGCAAAGTGTTTTTTTCATACTGTTGTTAAAAAGAAGTTCCAACAAATCTGTCCATTACATTACAAAATGAATTTTATTTATTTGTAACATGTCACAAAAAGAACAGTACGGTAAACATAGTAAACTCTTAAAATAAAAAAACTGAAATAAATATTTCATGTCGAAAAAGGGGTAGGAATTAGTATACACTTATATTATCCTAACCCTTCCATCATTAAATTAACTTAATATTCTTCATATATACAATGCAAAAAATTGCTTTTGCTATTATTGCCTCAGTCATTTAGTTCTATTTAGACAAAAGAGGGCCAAAACATTTTATTTTTGAAAGTTTTGGACTGTTTCATGACATGGCTTTGTATTTTGATGTTTTCGGTGATCCTCAGAGGGAGCATTATTATGAATGTTGTCTAACTGTTCCTTCTCACCACCAGGTGGCAGGGCTGACCCTTTTAGCTGTGGGAGTTTATTCAGCCCGAAGCGCAACCGGGGTGGCAGGACGTTACATCGAGGCCAGGCTCGGGAAGCCGTCGCTGGTGCGGGAAACGTCCCGATTCACCGTGGCAGAGGCTATCAAGCATCCGGTCAAGGTAGAAAACTAACACATGGATCCTTTGCTTGTTTTGATAGTTGCCGATTATGATATACTAATTGAACTCTTTCTGGTCACTTTTTAGATGGCCAAGCGTCTGAAGAGCAAACCTCAGGACGCTCTTGAGGGAGTTGTGCTCAGTGTAAGTGGACATCACAAACAGAGGATGTAGCCAATGTGTATTTCTGAAGTGATGATGTAAATGTATTTTTCTATGTACTATTAGCCTTCCCTGGAGGAGCGTGTACGTGATATTGCCATAGCAACAAGAAACACAAGGCAGAACAACGGCCTGTACAGGAACATCCTGATGTACGGCCCACCAGGCACGGGCAAAACTCTCTTTGCTAAGGTAAACCTGAGGGCTGAACGACGACTTAATAAACTCCTACATATATGGAAAAAAAGCTTTTCTAACTGTCAGGCCTTTTTTCCCCTATTGAGTAGAAGCTGGCAATGCATTCTGGGATGGACTACGCAATCATGACTGGTGGTGACGTGGCACCCATGGGCCGTGACGGTGTGACAGCCATCCACAAAGTGTTTGACTGGGCTGGCACAAGTCGACGCGGGTAAGCTGCTTAATAGTATACTACATTACGTACCTTTTTTAGAAGACTATACAGACAGCAATACTATCCACTCCAGATACAAAATCAACAGTTTATCTCATCTTGTGTTTTTTATCCTGTTACAGACTTCTGCTTTTTGTTGATGAAGCTGATGCATTCCTTCGTAAGAGGTCCACTGTAAGTTTATTACATTTTTCAGAAACCTAGCTCCATAAGCTAAATGTTCCTTGTTTCAAAATAAATGTTCCTATTCTTTAAATTATCCCTGATTTATTCTAACTCCATATTGTGCAATATTTACTTATGTAGGAAAAGATCAGTGAAGACCTCAGAGCCACTTTGAATGCATTCTTGTATCGCACTGGAGAGCAGAGCAACAAGTAAGAATTGATTTACATTCTGGACAAATTAAACCGTTAAACAGTGGTCATTTTCACATCATTCTCCTTCAACTTCCTACTAATCTTTTTGATTTCTTTGTTTTTCTGTCAGGTTCATGCTGGTG